CCGAAAAGGCTGCGATGCAGCGTTCCTCCTGTATTCCCAATCGAACAAGGTTGAACAAGCGGTCACGTGCTCCTGGGTGCCCAAATCACCTGGTCACCGCGCCAGCAGGCGACAACTTTCACACCAAGGTTCAACTCGAGTTCAACTCGCCAAAAAAGGTCAAACAGGCTAGTAAGTTGTACCCTGCAGGCACGGTGACCAGGTGACTGGTGTACGCCGGAGCACGTGACCGCTTGTTCAACCATGTTCGATTGGGAATAAAGGAGGAACGCTGCATCGCAGCCTTTTCGGACCAAAACCAGTCGACTCAGCGTCCAAAAGACCACAACATATGGGCCAATCGCGGTCATCCGTGCTTTTATAAGAACGACATGGCGCTTTTAGTGACATTTTGCATACAAATCCCCATCTAGTAGGGCGCAGTCACCCAGTTTCGGTGGAAGTGCGCGAGTTCGAGTGGGAATAAAGGAGGAAGGGAGCGTCTCAGCTTCCTCGGACCAAGACCATTCGACTCAGTACCCCGAAGACTACAACTGGTGAAAAATTGATTTTAGGGTACACTTCCCCTTTAACCTCTAAAAATTACACGTAACGTGATATTTGCACCGCGTTTTGAAAAAGGGCAAAAAACGTGAAACTTAACCTCTCTAATGTCACAGTGTGAAGTTACACAGAAGAGATCCTCCTCTGCTTGCTTCACAGGGTACAGGGTACAGGGTACAGGGCACAGGGTACAGGGTAGTACCTAGGCAGCAGACGGTGTAAATGACTGGCCTATGTGAACTGTCGGCAGGACTCTGACCCTTGTGTTGTGAACGACAGGAGTGTGAGTGACCTATTATCCGAGGACGGGCAAACGAGTCAGTTCCCATGCATATGCAAATTGATTCTTTTAACTACCAAACATCACAGAGCCCACATAGCTAGCAACTTCATCGATGAATTTCGAAAATTTCGAAAATTTCCCAAATCGTATACCGGTAGGAAACATGGACAAATTACTTTTGCAAATTCCTCGGTCCAGGCGAGCTCCCGCGACGCACACATAGCGCAGTGACCTTTTGTAGTACTCCTTGGTCCGATATTTAGTCACTGTCCTGAACATGGCACACACAGTAAGAGCATAGAATTCAGTAACATGGATTACAAGTAGCATGGATTACAAGTAACATGGATTACAAGTAGCATGGATTACAAGTAACATGGATTACAAGTAGCATGGATTACAAGTAGCATGGATTACAAGTAACATGGATTACAAGTAGCATGGATTACAAGTAGCATGGATTACAAGTAACATGGATTACAAGTAGCATGGATTACAAGTAGCATGGATTACAAGTAGCATGGATTACAAGTAGCATGGATTACAAGTAGCATGGATTACAAGTAGCATGGATTACAAGTAACATGGATTACAAGTACAGTCAACTTTGCTAATAACGACTGCGGATATAACGACAATTCGCGAATAACGACAGAATTTCCATGCCCAGAGCAAAGTCCCATCCCACTGTAATACACATAATGAAACTTCGGGTATAACGACACTTCGCGGATAAGGACACCTTTTTGATGCCCCGCCGATTGTCGTTATAAGCGAAGTTGACTGTAGCATGGATTACAAGTAGCATGGATTACAAGTAGCATGGATAACATAAATTCTACTTTGAGCGGCAGTGATAGCATAGCGGCCGAAGTGGGTTTTAGCCCTGAGAGGCCGAAATTTGAATGGGCAGAAAATTTGTCGACTTACAGTGGTAAGAGCATGGATTACATAGAGTCAGCAGTATAGATCACATAGAGTCACCAGTATAGATCACATAGAGTCAGCAGTATAGATCACATTTAGGCCGCGTTTGAATTGTTTTCATCAACTGTTCAAACAAATTTTATTAAGAGATTAGTTGAAGTGTCCTATTAGAACGGTTTCTATCATTTTTAGAGTTTTTCAGTGGAATTGTCATGGCGATGATGACGTCCGATCAGATCGACCATCTCCACGTACTGCGTGGCGTGGCTATTCCAAACTCTTCGAAACTAATCCACCTCTCCCATCGGGTGAGGTTGTGGAGTTTCGAGGAGCTTTGTTTTTCTGAAGAGGCCAATAAGGCCACCTCTTCAGAAAAACGAAACTCCTCGAAAAGTCGAAGAGTGACAATTCGAACGCGCCCTTAATCACCAGTATAGATCACATAATAGTCCGCAGCATAGATCACATAATAGTCCGCAGCATAGATCACATAATAGTCCGCAGCATAGATCACATAATAGTCCGCAGCATAGATCACATAATAGTCAGCAGCATAGATCACATGATAGTCACCAGCATAGATCACATAATAGTCACCAGCATAGATCACATAATAGTCACCAGCATAGATCCATACATCACACAAACTGTAAGTCTGCAAATGTTCGGCCCATTCAAATTTCGGCCTCCCAGGGCTAAAACCCGTTTCGGCCGCATCAAATTCTCGGCCTGTACTGCTGCCGCCTGTGTACACTGTCACACTGAACCCTGCAGAACAAAATTTCGGCCGCAACAAGTTTTCGGCCAAACATGACCAGGCCGAAAATAGCCGAAAATAAATATGCGCCGAATATTTGTTGACTTACAGTAGTAATAGCATGGATCACACATAGTAATAGCATGGATTACACATACCGTACTATCTCTAATATAAGCACGGTCCTTTATTTTTTTCAATGTACCTCCGCCCCGTGCTATTAATGGAGACGTTCCTTTATTGGAGACTGTTCCATTATTATTTCAACCTCATTTCAGAGGCATGTTTCCGTGCCAAATTCATGTCAGACACACACATTTCAGGGTTTTTTCGCCCGTACAGATAATGAATTTACACAGTGTGCTTATAATGGAGACTGAGCACTTTATTTTTTGAATGCCGCCCCAAGGTGTTCTATTATTGGAGATGTGCTATTATTGGAGACTGTGCTTATATTAGAGATAATATGGTAGTAATAGCATGGATTACACATAGTAATAGCATAGATCACATAGTATGAATAGTGTTAATGAGGCAGATATTGAACATTGAGGAAACGTCAAAGTCAACATTCAATGTCCGACTTTTGAAAGTATCAATACTGTTGTACAATACCCTATACGCATTAGGCCAAAGAGTACATGTACACGGTCCTGTTATATCAAACAATTGAGAAAGGACACATCAGACATTAGTGCATTCGGCAGTAGGCACAGTCAGTGGGTCTAAGTTAGAACCCACCTGAACAGGGGACATGGGAAGATGCCGCAAATACCAAGGTAGGACTCGACTACTTTATACGATTCCTTCTCCACTACTTTCTCCTGAAAGTACTGCTCCATGGTGTTGAGCCTGCACACAGAAAGCATTCGTGAAAGTGACCAGCGAAACATGTCAATCATAATCTGTGTCTTCCCAATCAAAATAATTATCATGGAGTGACTAAGGGATCAGTTCCAGAAATTTTGCTTTTTGATATTAATACCACGCCGGGAGACAGAGAGGGGGGGGGGGGGGTATTTCAGTTTACAGTGTGTACCTATTTATGTTTACATAGATAGACTGTTTCCATGTGCGGCTAGTCTACGAGTATGTATAGTGACGTAGGCTAGAGCTGGGCCAGGTACACACGTGGCGACCTAGGCTAGAGCTGGACCAGGTACACACGTTGTGACGTAGGCTAGAGCTGGGCCAGGTACACACGTGGTGACGTACCGGTGAAACGTGCCGCCACAGTAACTGTTATGCAACTTGGTTGGTAGCGGAGGTTTGGGTGAGTTGGGAGGGGAGGTTTGGGTGAGTTGGTAGCGGAGGTTTGGGTGAGTTGGGAGGGGAGGTTTGGGTGAGTTGGGAGGGGAGGTTTGGGTGAGTTGGGAGGGGAGGTTTGGGTGAGTTGGGAGGGGAGGTTTGGGTGAGTTGGGAGGGGAGGTTTGGGTGAGTTGGGAGGGGAGGTTTGGGTGAGTTGGGAGGGGAGGTTTGGGTGAGTTGGGAGGGGAGTTTTGGGTGAGTTGGGAGGGGAGGTTTGGGTGAGTTGGGAGGGGAGGTTTGGGTGAGTTGGGAGGGGAAGGCTACACCTTCAGGCTGGACCTATCATGGCAAACCTGTCAGTGTACGGCCCATCTTACGACCACTCTCAGCCATCGACTGTACTCACCCCTTTTGAATGGGCTGCGGTGCAGCAAACGAAGAACAGACCAGGAGAATGGTAGCATGGACAAGTAGGTCATGGACCGTGAGATGAGCTGACATTGTTGCGGGATGGATCTGCCACTGTTACCGCGAGCAACTTCACCCTGTCTCGATGGGTGTTCAGTGTATCTACAGCCTAACAAGCGCACCAACCCTCCGGTGCTCACGCAGTCAACAGATCCTCAATCTGCCGACAGTTAACAGATCAGTAGGCACACAGGCATACACAAATACATACCAAAAAAATGCTATTAGCTCCTTTAATGTGCAGAGTTGTGAAAATCCAGTTGCTGACCCTACCCGCTGCCACTATTCACGCGCATGAAATAGCTGTATTTATCCTACACTGGCCCAAGAACCATATCCCGATTGAAATCTACTGGGAGACCAAGTAAGAAAACAGAAGCAACAAAAACGACAATGACAATGACAAGTTCCGGTTCCATCGCCATATTCCATAAGAATACTTATAAAGGCATGGTAAGGTTATCCAGACTTCACGATGATCCAAATAATTATATCGTTCAACCTGGTAGCTAACCTCATGGAGAAATTATGATATCAAGATTACAAGGAAAACTATAAGCTTCAGTGTGTGAGTTATTCACTCATTAAACGAGGGGTTTTCCCCTGGGCATTCAGCCAGCCGCCATGCTGCTGCAGAGCACAATCCCGGTACTGTGAATAACACTTAAGTGACTACATTGACTACAGTCTTTGTAATACATACATTTCACAACCGTTTTCCACGCTAATGACAGTTGAACTTTGTTTGTTTTTGATTTCTTTTAGTTCGTTACCTCAACAGTACAATGTACAACTTCAAACAGGGTCGATCAGGGAAAAAAAACTGAGGGTCATCAAAAAGGGAGTGAGAGAGAAAAAGGCTGTAAGTCGGCTACCCATTTGCCAATCGAACTCGCGCACTTCCACGGAAACTGGGTCACTGCGCCCTACTAGAAGGGGATTTGTATGCAAAATGTCACTAAAAGCGCCATTTCGTTCTTATAAAAGCACGGATGACCACGATTGGCCCATATGTTGTAGTCTTTTGGACGCTGAGTCGACTGGTTTTGGTCCGAAAAGGCTGCGATGCAGAGTTCGGCCCTTATTCCCAATCGAACATGGGTGAGTAAGCGGTCACGTGCTCATGCGTACACCAGTCACCTGGTCACCGTGCCTGCAGACTACAACTTTTACAGCGGTCCTGTCACTCGAGTTGAACCTTTAAGTTGAACCTTGGTGTGAAAGTTGTAGTCTGCAGGCACGGTGACCAGGTGACTGGTGTACGCATGAGCACGTGACCGCTTACTCACCCATGTTCGATTGGGAATAAGGGCCGAACGCTACATCGCAGCCTTTTTGGACTAAAACCAGTCAACTCAGCGCCCATTAATGACTACAACATATGGGCCAATCGCGGTCATCCGTGCTTTTATAAGAACGAAATGGCGCTTTTAGTGACATTTTGCATACAAATCCCCTTCTAGTAGGGCGCAGTCACCCAGTTTCGGTGGAAGTGCGTGAGTTCAATTGGGAATAAAGGAGGAAGGGTGCGTCTCAGCTTCCTCGGACCAAGACTATTCGACTCAGCACCCCGATGACTACAACTGGCCAAACTTTGATTTTAGGGTATACTTCCCCTTTTAAGTCGGCGAGGAGACAAAATCCTTAATCGATGGAAATAATGTGAATACAGTCATACCACTACACCAGACCTCACATCTCAGTGTGATAAAGATTTCTGATGATCGTCACATGAAAACAACGTTAAAATCCGTACTTATTGTTCCTCTGGTGTCGTGGTATGAGTGCGTACACGTTATTTCTATCGGTTACCCATTCTTTAGTTCGGTTTTTAGGTCATAAATTAAGTTAACCTTAAAAAAAACATTTTAAAGGTTGACATACAGTCATAATGTCGTAACAGCTATCTGTCTGTAGTATTAGGCTGTAGGTGTGAGCAAGCGAACTCCTACATAACGAATACAGTCTGTCCAACCTTGCCACCATTCCAAAGCAGGACACCTATATACAATGTATAGAAAGGCAATTCTCTCCCATGTAAATATATGCACGTGTTTGGGTCCAAAGCAGGACTGTCCTGGTCAAAGCAGGACGGTTGGACAGCCTGCGAATAACTAAGTCGCATAACCCAGGGGAGCTAGTGACCACACTCACTGAACACTGGACTAAGCAGTGACTGCACGGCTCAGCTCTGTTCGTGACAGAGTTGGTGGACAAGCCATTGGTTAGGACGCTCATAGTGAAGTCAGATTTCACATGCCACGACTGTTGGTACTGAAGGAACGTTTTGACAAGCACCTGTCTAAGTTTACACCCTGCATGTGCAGGATTACTGGATTACAGTGTATGACGATCACAGTGTAGTCTGTTCAAGTATGGGTGTCTGCCAGGCTGCATAATCAGGGAAACGGGTAATTAAATTGTTCCCAACGTTCCCCTACTTTACTGGCTCATGTTGACTTTTGGAATAAGGCACGTGGAGAACGTTGATGTAAAGCTTCCAGAGCTGTGAGCAGAGAAAGTGAAGTGTACATCACGGAGTTGTGCACATACTGCATAGCTGTACTGTTGTGTAGATGTAGGGTGAAAGTCGCACAATCAATCAATGGACAATGTTTGTTTCACAGACGCAGACACAGACACTGGTACACACAGACAAACAGACATACATACAGACATACAGACATACATACAGAGTACAGACACGCACAGACACTCACAACACATAGACACGTAAGCAGTTCGCGTGTGCGTGTACTGTACGACGGGAGGTCGATCTAGTCATGTCGATTGTGTGCTAGTGGAACCAGTAAAAATGAATTTAGCATCACGACCACGTCCTTATCCAAATCAGTACGGGCTTCTCACCTTTGCCTTCGCCGGCTTCGGAACGGAACTATTCCTCTACGCTGATGATCTGGCCGGTAAGCAACGAAGTGCACAGCAGGCGAGCACGCAATGATGGCACTGATTCACACACACACACACACACACACACATGTGACGGCAGTGATCAGGGTGATGTTGAACTCTATCTGCCCAGTTGTCTTATGTCGCTTCACCACTGAGAACTCCTAACGTTATTTGCTGCTTCTGTTCTGCCCGAAACTCCAGACCGGTCAGGTTGGACAACGGAACGAGACTAAGCGGCCGCCCTCGGAGCCGCCGTTCTTGGACCATTTTGCTAAGCCACTCAGGCCTTCACTGGCGTTGGACAGCGACGTTAGTGCCATTCGATAGAACCCTTTTGTAATGATATTATCTCCGGGCTGCCTGCTTGTAACTTGCCAAACCAGTCACCTGAGCTTGTCACACTCCAAACACCGAACTCAGTCAGAAGGAAGAATTTTGACAGTCGCCACAACTGACCCGGGCGCTGGCCGTAGCCAACTCGCGCGAGTCACTGCCTCGACAAGGTGGTGACTGCCTGTAGACCATGGTAGACGCTTCTCGTGCCGGAGTGCAATCGCTGTAAAACTTCACCTGTCATCGTGGAAAGCTCAGAAGATACTATGTAGTAAATCCTTTTTGCAATGCCCTGCAGATCTTGTGTGGGGGAGTTGTACCTCGCTGTGTGGGCAGGTGAATAGCAGAGTCTAAGCCCGACATGCACCGTCCGTCGTGTCTGATATGACAGAGCTGTCCGAATGAGATCAACAGCTGTCGTCTTCGAAAGAGTGTTGCAAGAGGCCGACCATTGTGCTCGGCTGCCGTCACGAGACCAAAATATTTAACCGTGACAAGCGTGGCCTGCAATCTTCGTGATTCTACGGTCTTCGTGGAGTTAGAGAGTTGCCATCGACAAACTGCCGGTTCAGGTCCACACTAACCAGTTACCTCTCCGATCCGTCAGACTCCAGTTCCAGCGTTACGTTAGTTGGAAAGACAATCATTACAATCATGCTCTCAGCGTCACCAGGGTCACAGCGTTCAGCCAGCTTGATGGAAGCATGATTGGACCTGTGCCAGGTTGTACATGCGGACGTGGTCGGGGATGAATGAAATCAGTCTTTGAAGGTTATGAATAATGGTGAAACTGATCAAAAAACTGATCACAAACATCATTCATGTATGGACGATCGAGTATTCTAGAAATACGTGCAAGTATTTACGTAGATGTGAAGATAATAGTATGTCCTGCTGCTGGCTGCTGCAACACGTATTCACACCACTGACACCAGTAATGTCTGTAATTGCAGTAGTGGTTTGAGCCCACGCTGTGGCCCCCTGCAACTTGCATGAACTTACTTACAGTTACTTGATCTGCATGGTACATCATGGTACATCATGGTACATCATGGTACTGCATGGTACACACGGTAGAGCTGCAGCCGCCACGTTTTGTGGCTGAGCTATTATTCCACACATTGACTGCTTATAAAACTGAAGTAGAATTACGTAGCAAGTACAATGTAGTATCAATACATTTAGCATGTGTAAAACAAACACACTGTACATGCAGAGAGAGAGAGAGAGAGATAGAGAGAGAGAGAGAGAGAGATAGAGAGAGATAGAGAGAGAGAGAGATAGAGATAGATAGATAGATAGATAGATAGATAGATAGATAGATAGATAGATAGATAGATAGATAGATAGATAGATAGATAGATAGAGATAGAGATAGAGATAGAGATAGAGAGAGAGAGAGAGAGAGAGAGAGACAGGATTGGTTTTACTTGTATTTCCTAACGATGTTATCTGCTCCTTGTCCTGGGATAGATAGATAGATAGATAGATAGATAGATAGATAGATAGATAGATAGATAGATAGAGATAGAGATAGAGATAGAGAGAGAGAGAGAGAGAGAGAGAGAGAGAGAGAGAGAGAGAGAGAGAGAGAGAGAGAGAGAGAGAGAGAGAGAGAGAATAGAGAGAATAGAGAGATAGAAAGAAAGAAGATCTCTAAAGGAGAAAGAGTCCACTTTTACTGACGAGAAACGTATCAGCAAACTGACCTCAAGAGTACGATCATAATCATGGGATCATACTCATAATCATTTTTAGACAGAGGCCAGTCACCTACATGTAACTTGCTATTTTATTTATTTATTTATTCCAAGTCCCATAGCATGTTGTTGCCAGTCAAAGGGGAGGGGGTGAAAGCCAACCACGGCTGAGGAACGTAAAGAAAATTAATATTAAATCAAAGAAAAGAGGGAGAAGGAAAAAGAAAAGGTATCTAGAAGGGGGGGGCTATTGAAGTGCTGAAAGCTGGACGTTAAACTTAAAGTCTCCGAAGCATGATGTGAGCAGCTTAGTTCTATGACACCATGATGCTGCAGAAACAAGTCTTGCTCATCTATTCATGAGCCAAATCAGACCAGAGCACACATCTTGATATGAAACACACTGGGGTTAGGAGAAAACCTGAACCGTGGTCCGCATGGAAGGTGACACGAGATGGAGCGTCCCGGGAGACCGGCGTACCTATCCTTCATTGTCTCCGGGATACCTTGGCCGTTGTGACTATGAGGTATAGTTCCCCTCGATGACATCCACCACCCGTCTGTATCTCTCCGTGTAACGTTAAATGATGGGTACGGCCATGACTCCAGATGATATCGGTAGCAATGAAGTGATTGCAATGCGGTGCAGTGTCAGCAAACATCATGATACTGACTTTGGTACTTGTAGCCTCATCAGTATACACGTAGCTACTGTTTGAAACAATGGCGACAAACATCCAATGGCTAGGCTTCCTCAAATCGCTCTCCCAACTAAAGAACCTTCTAGAAAGAAGTTTCATGTCAGAGCGTGCTGGATATGTCAGAGCGGTGCTGGATATGTCAGAGCGGTGCTGGATATGTCAGAACCATCCTGCAGACTGGATTGGTGTCACTGCTGCGGGTAGATCTACTAAGCAGGATGATACCACTAGTACACTCTACAGGAGTGGTTGCAGTCAGCTGAACAGAAGTCAAAATTAATGCACTGCTGTACCCTCGTCAGTACTCGTGCGAGAGTTCCAGCCTTGTCAAGATATGTTACCACGCTCACGACATACATATAATTATTAATATTTTTTATATATTGAATATTGTTTGCCTGATGATTGCACATAGTGCATGAAACTCAGAGTAGCAAAACACTACGAGTGATCCATTGTTTGTTGACATGTTTGACTACATAGCAGACTCAGCGGAGGACGTTCAGGTTGGTTGTAACTCTGAGTTTCATGCCGCTAGGCATTCATCAGACAACTGATACTCGGGTCTACCCAACAGTATGCTTATAAACACATAGGGCCACAAGCATAAACAAATTTAGCGCTAAATCTGGTGTGAGGTATGGGGAGAAAGCTGGCGCGGGCCAAGGCGCGACAGTGGAAGTGCCAGGAGGGTGGCGGGCAACAGGCAGGTGTGAGCATGAAAGCGCGGAAAGAGGCGATGGGGAGGCAGTGTACAGCAGATGTGTGTGTGTGGGGGGGGGGTGCCAGGAGGGTGGCGGGCAATGGCCCAGTGAGATCACTACAAGTAGGGAGTCGTTTGGTGACGGGCAGGCGTGAGCAGAGTGGCATCGCCAACAACAGGCCAAGGGATAATGGGTGCTCAGGCAAAGTGCAGTACAGTACTTGGTCAGTTCATGTGATAGGTGTGAAATTTGCGAGGCGGAACTTATTCTCATGCCTAGCGCCTGCATTTCGAGACCATCTCAGACCGCTTGTTGAGTAGGAGCTTCTTGGGTGTAGTCAGGATGTGGAATTTTTCCGCGGTACAAAGATTGCATTTTTTTGACTCACATCTGTATGATATAATTTTGACTAGTTTGAGGGAAAGACACAAACGGGAAAAGTCTGAAGAAAAAATTGACTGTCAGCACCAGGACTCGAACCAGGGACCCTCTCTTGTAGCTAGCGATGCTCTAACCACTGAGCTATGGAGTATGGTGTAGTCGTCATCCCAGCAGAGACCGTTCAACATCTTCTTGACTTCAGACTTCGTAACTCACACTTCCTGTGAATCCACACAGATATAATTGTACGAGGAGGAAAACTTCCTTCTGCCACCTGATGATTGCATTGAGCAAGAAACTCCGAGTTGCGACAACTCTGTAAACCTCCATTGTGCCTTTTGTGTGCAGATATAATTATAATATTTTCGCTCCTGCTCTTGTGGTAGTTGAGCACTCTCATGTGGGGTAGTGCCTTTGCTGTTTGCATTACGCAGAGCTCACTGACTTGTGAGTTTGAGCACTCTGGCAAGGTACGTTCGGGCCTGGTTTAATCTGGCTCAGTTGGAAATTTTATTTTCATTGCTATCAGGTTCGGCCTCATTTTCTCTGTGCTGTGCTGATGAGTTCACAAAGAACGAAACAGCATGCTGTCCGCGGATTGAGTATATGTAATTATTATTCTGTTTATTTCCACCATGCTTCATGGCTAATAGGGGAGGTGTAATCAATCAAATCAATCTAGGATTAGGAAGGACATGAAATGAGTTAAAACTTAACCCTTATATACATTGTGTACTAGCTCCAGTGCACCCCAGCGCTGTTGAGCCCTCTTTGCGGTGGACGGGACCACTTCCCCCTGTGTGAAGGCTCTCTTTTATAGATTGAGCACTCTTTCTCAGATACCGCAGCTATGGACCCACCAAGACGGACGGACCTCGGCCATTCCCTCGGGAATATACCCATCCCATCAGCAGACTCCTACCGAAAGCGTCTGGTGGAGAAAGTGGAGAGTGTAATACACTGCCCGCACCTAGCAGTAACTCTTCGCTCTTCACACTTCACGCTTTCTTTTTTGTGCGCCTTGCTGTGTGGTTGTGTATTTCTTTAGTGGACCTGACAGCCCTGCTTTAGTTAGAAAAGTTGCCTGACGATTGAAAAACTCAAGAAACTCGGAGTAGCAACGGATTGTGTTTTCTTGGTGAGGACCGCTTCCATTGTATATATATAATATATATATAGAACAATAGAACTGAGCTGGCCTAGCTAGTGAGTTCCGCGGTGCAAAGATGATGATGGTGACAAGGCGGCAGAGAGCTATCAACTGGCCATACTGCCTGGAGGCAGGGTGCCGAGAAGATCATGTTATCGGTGTTGACAGCATGAATTTATTTTGATGTCGACATTTGGATATCAACTCCGACCGCTTGTTGAGGCTCGATCTCCTGTCGGCAGTGATTATTCTCGCCTTCTCCTCGAGGCACAGGCTGCATCTTTTTGTTATGTTGCTGTAGGCCTTGGCCTTCTGGACCACACCAAGTGGCGAGTGGTCCAGAAGGCCAAGGCCTACAGCAACATAACAAAAAGATGCAGCCTGTGCCTCGA